TAGGGCCTGGGCCGGGCCCCGACACCTAGGCTCTGGGGCTGGGGCTCAGGCCCCGGGCCCTGGGCTGGGGCTGGGCACTGACACCTAGGGCTGGGGCTGGGCACTGACACCTAGGGCTGGGGCTGGGCACTGACTCCCGGGGTGCAGATTGACACAAGTGCAAGGGGATGGGCACTGGAGTTACCAGCCCTCCCAGAGTGTGCTGGAGTTGTTAGGAATTAAGGATTCATGTGTCATTGTGGTTTAGATCATGTGATGAAGGGGCTGGGGCTGGGCACTGACACCTAGGGCTGGGGCTGGGCACTGACACCTAGGGCTGGGGCTGGGCACTGACTCCCGGGGTGCAGATTGACACAAGTGCAAGGGGATGGGCACTGGAGTTACCAGCCCTCCCAGAGTGTGCTGGAGTTGTTAGGAATTAAGGATTCATGTGTCATTGTGGTTTAGATCATGTGATGAAGCCTCCAGAAACACATCCAAACAAAACGGGCAACTCTGTGGGCACTGACAGATGGGGCGGGCAGTGGCACACAGGAATGGGAGCTGGGGAGACCTGCCCATGGGGGGAGGGCAAAGGAGGCAACAGCCCCGGAGCTCAGCAATTCTAAAGGGCCCAGGCGTCCTGGCTGCTATCACTGCTACTGTGGCAGCAATAGCAGCCAGAGTTCCATTAAATCGGGCACTCTCTGCAGCTCTGAAGCATGCTGCTGGCATGGGGGGGGTGGAGCACGGCCCTGAGGGCTGGCTGCCCCACCCCTTCTGCCTGAGGCCCTGCCCCTTCCAGGAGCACAGAGTTACCCCCACCTCTTACCCAGGGATCCAAAAATTCTGTCGCCCCCCCCCTCTCCCCATCACAGGGATGGGCACTGATGTACAGGCATATGGAGGTAGTGGGCACTGAAATATAGGCACTCTAGGATGGCTCAAACATATGCGGATGGGCACAGACATGGAGATAGCATGGGCCTCTTAGGATTGTCACCTGTCCAGGTTTTCTCAAGATCATCTCTTGCTTTAGGTAGCTATCCTGGGTAATTGGTAGGAGTCCTCAGTATGCACTGCTAGCTGTCATGTTTTTATGGGGTCAAGATCATCCTGGACAAATTCTAACAGTAATTATTGCAGGGGGAATTAAGGGAAAATTTCATTGCCGTATAAACAAGTATTGCAAGTATCACATTCAGTTACAAGAAGAGTAAATTAAAAAAAAAATATTCAAGGCTCTTAATACAATGAAAATTATTTATAAAAGAGACTAGCCCAGGGTTTGGTAGAAACCTATAGTATGTTTTATTTCTAGGCTGCTTGTTTAAATTCAGAATGTTTTCAATTTTTTTTCAGTTACAGACTAACACGGTTACCCCTCTGAAACATTATGTTTGTTTAGTTAGTAACTGTGTTGACTCTTGCTATCATAAATGCAAAATAGCTACATTGTACTTGTGTTTCTCTTGATTGGCCACATGGGGGTTGTCTAATAACAAAAGGAAGTACTTTTTCACACAATGCACACTCAACCTGTGGAGCTCCTTGCCAGAGGATGTTGTGAAGGCCAGTACTATAACAGGATTTTTTAAAAAAAAGAGCTAGGTAAATTGATGGAGGATTGGTCCATCAATGGCTACTAGCCAGGATGTACAGGGATGGTGTCTCTAGCCTCTTTTTGTCAGGAGATGGATCACTGGATAATTATCTGTTCTGTTCATTCCTCCTGGGGGACCTGGCATTGGCCACTGTCAGAAGACAGAATACTGGGCTAGATGGACCTGTAGTCTGATCCAGTATGGCTGTTCTTATGTTTATGTTCTTATAATCCCCATATGCCCTAAATTAGCCACCTTTGACGTACTTGTCCATATTACATTTGGTAGTTGCCCATTTTATATTTGAAAATCCTCACCTTAAGCATGTATCCTTTTCCTATACTTTTCCATTCTTTCTTTGTAGATAAGAATAACAAATAGTAGTATTATGTTGATGTTCAGGTTCTTTCAAGAGAAAATACTACTTAAACTTCCACATCAGAGGACCTACTTCTTCATTGGATTTATACATATAGTCAGGGCTTGACAAATAATGCAATCTACTCGCCTGTGGCGAGTAGATTTCAACCCGGAAGAGCCGGGTTTGGGTGATCTGCGCATGTGCAGATCGCTGGACAGCACGGCTGGTGAGCTGGGCTTGTCGTGGTTTGGCGAGCCCTGCATATAGTGTATTAGATGTTTTTCTGGTTGTTTCTCAGGCACCTTTTAGAAAGCTACAGCTCAGAGTCACAAAACTCACTTAATACCGTTGTTTAACTGATTCAAAGCAAATTTTGTTTCTTTTTGTTTTTGTTTCCTGTTTTGGTAAGACGGTTCTAAAATTAAAATACTTTCAATAATACAGCTAGGAAAATATGAGGAAATGAACAAACAATTAGTTCAGATATTAATCTCAAGTGACAGGATCAATGATAGCCTCATCACTACTTGTTCTGTTCTCTGTCCCTTTTCTTGCGTCAAATAACTGGGAAGAGATACCTAAACGGAGTACCTCATCTCTTGTTCTGCCCAATTAAAGCTGTGGGACAGTCGTTAAGGATGTAGGCACAAAATCATTTTTTGCAATGGTATATTGATACATTAAAAATAAGTTATCAACATATTATTTATTAATGTTTTGTGAACTACAAAAACGTGAAAACTAATTCAAAAGGCAAAATAGAAAAACAAAATTAAACATCAAAAATATATAGAACAAATTTCTTCAGATATCAGGCCAGGCCAAAATATATACATTATACTCAAAATAAAAAAACGGCTTAAATACTTTTTCTTTGCACTTAAATTGTAAATGTGTGTGAAAGCAGCTGTTTCAGCACTCTACTCTGTTGCCTGGTGGAATATTACACTGATTCACATGAATGAACTTAATATATAAAGAAACAGGATGACCTTAAAATGTAATTAGCTGCATTTCAGTATTCAAAGGCAGAACTATTTAACTATTTCTACAGTTGAATAACATAAGTATATGTAAGATGGTGCCTGCAATGAGTACACAAAATCTGTTACTATAGGGCTATATTTTCTGCTGAAACTTAACCCAAAGTTTCTTTACAGGCACAAATTATATCCAAAATTTTATATTCACAAATGAATTATGGCTGCAGATACCAGGAAAACTAACTGCCTGGTTATACACGTACAAATTATACCTGCAAAAGGAAGGCTAGACTTGAAAATGTAACTCATATTTTTAAAAAATAAATTAATTGGTTAAAAAAAATACAAAACAACACACAAAAATAATGTAAGTATTTATATGATCCCCATCATTATAATATCTGAGCAACAGAGAGAGAAACCATACAAAATTAATTGGATCAAATTTCTGAACTATGCAGAAGTATTCTCAAACTGAAAACACATGTATCCTGCAAGAAAAGCATTACTGTGCACTCATATTCTGGCTGGCAGCAACCCAATACATTTATTATTGATGTCCTGACATTCACCCTAATTTTGCATTAACAACCTGCATGTATCTTACATGCTTAGTAGCCATATGTTCCCTAAACATTCAGGCCAATTCTGTAATATTCCATTATAGCTTTTCTCATGGAAGAACTTCTCAGTCACTCCATGGATTTAGATGGGAGCCAGAATGGGAAACACAGCTTTCTCTGTTGTGCTGGGTATGAGTTTTCTGAGGCCTGTCTACCTATCATCTGCCAGAATTTGTCCCATAACATGCTCATTACATTGTAATATGAAAAATCTATATGTGACATTTTATATAAAATTCTGCAGTTTAAAACAAATGCAGTAAACCATCATTTGGAAAAGAGAGAATGATGATGGCTTCACATCATAATGTATTACTATTTATATCTTGGTCTGTTATCAGGAAAACCAGGAAAACACTTACATTTGCAAGTGAAAAAGAATAGAAAAATATATTTATCTACTTGTTTGGAAAGATAAGAAATCAGACAAATAATAAAATAATTTTGTACCAATGCTCTGTGAAAATTTTTGCTGAGCCACCCCAAAGAAGCATTGGAAGGGTTGACTCAGCATCTTGCAGACATGCTCTAAACTGTGGTGTGGAAAGTACAAATTATATTCCTGGTCATACTGGAGTTTGCTACATGGTCCATGGGAATCAGACTCCTAGTGCGGGGTGATAGACTTGGGGCAGCTGGCTTTCACTAGCACTCTAATAATAATTGTATAGACAGTGCTTTCAAATTGCAGTTTGGC